GTACCTTGTTGAGGAGGATCCACGAGCACTATGGATCGCTTTGGCTAATCGCTTTGATCCAAAAAGATATCTTCTTGCTTGAAGCAAGACATGACTGGCAGCATTTGTGCTTCCAAGACTTTAAGTCTGTGAATGAATATAATTCTGAAGTTTGTCGAATCCGATCACTTCTCAAGTTTTGTAACGAGACTTTGACCAAGAGGATCTCCTATAGAAGACCTATTCGACCTTTTCTGCTACTAATATTGTCCTACAGCAACAATATAGAGCTCAGAAGTTCACCAAGTTTTCAGATTTGATCTCTGTTTTATTTCTCTCTAAAAAGCAGAATCAGCTGTTGATGAAAAATCATCAAGCTCAACCTACTGGGGTAACTGTTGTGCCTGAAGCACACTATAGCATGAACCAATGCCCAAAATGCCAAAAGAGTCGTGGTAGGTGTGGCCAGAATCAACCCCGTAAAGGTCAACAGAGTTAAGGCCCATCTAAAGGAGGAAACAAAGCCTAGAAGTGCCTTAACCTCGCTCCCAAGGCCCCAAACTTCAAGAATAAGGGCAAAGCACCCGAAACCATGGATGCAAACATGTGATATCGCTATGGTTTAAAGGCCATTGCTCCCATGTTTACCATGCTCCTTAAAAGGTTGTAGCTGAATATTATTCTCGTCTTAAGAAGTTTGAATCAAACTTTGTGCAAGTGGATGAACCAGAGATTACCAAGATGGAGGTTTCTGACTTTCAAGAGTGTACCACCCCTATGGAAGATTAGAATCTTAGATATAAAATATTTTTTAGTTGAAATAAGACATAGGGGCCAAATTCCACAGTAGTGGCCGAACCCCCTCTTATTTTTTGGTTAATTTTGAACAATTTTCCTTTATGTTTGGATTATTGTTGGTGATTTGTTTTTTGGAGATTAAGTTTTTAATTAATTTATGTCCTTGACTACTTAAAATTATGTTGAATGGATATTTGTTTTTTAGAACTTTTATGCAGGTGACCAATTCAAATTAATTTTTCATTCTAGGTATGACTAGTGGGGAAGTTAGTTGTCAGGCAGATAGTGCAACCATACACACCGTTTTGCGTGAATGCATCTATTTCACTAACTTCATACCTTGAATGCATCTCTGACAACCCTCTCAGGCCCATCTAACTTGATCGAAGGTTACGGTAAGGCACGTATAATGTTGTCCAATGGCACAATTTTGACCATTGATGAGGCACTTTATTCTCCGTGTTCCGGAAGAACGTTATTGATTTTTAAGGACATTAGAGATAAAATTACCACGCTGGAACCCATGTAGAAAACGGAGTTGAATTTATGTGCATAACTTCCTATGAATATGGCCAGAAGCGTATTCTATAGAAGATGAAGCGTATCCCGAATGGTCTGTATACTATGACCATACGTCCCATAGAGAGCCATTATGTGGTCTGCCTTACCTCTAGGATCGCACACGAGATTACACTTTGGAATGATCGTTTGGGACATCTTAAACGAATAGCGATGCGCCGTATCCTCAAATCATCACACATGCATCCACTAACCCGAAGTTTAGTTTCGATTCAAGGAATCGCATGTCAAACATGTTCAATGGGAAAACTTATTACTAAGCCTTCTTATAAAAAGATTCGTTTGAATCCTCCCATTTTTTCTACAAAGGATTCAGGGGGACATTTGTGGATCAATTCACCCTCCCTGCAGACCATTTAGATATTTTATGGTTTTGGTTGACACCTCCACACATTGTCCACAAGGAACACTGCATTCTTCAAACTGTTGGCTTAGGTTATTAAGTCCTTGAGTGTTTGGTTGTATTGCTTACGTTCATATCCATAAGATTCATCGTAGTAAATTGGATCCTTGTGCTTTTCGGTGTGTTTTTCTTGGCTTTGCATCCCAACAGAAAGGTTATAAATGCTATCACCCTGAAACCCGCCACATGCATGTCACCATGGATGTGACTTTCTCTGAATCCGAGTATTTTTATACTCTCGTATTCTCACCTTCCAATCCCAAGGGGGAGAGTATTGTTTGTGATCTTGATGGTGTGTTTGGGTGGTTGGATGTCCAAGATGTGCATCCTTCAGGGGAAGATGACAATATTGAACTAAGAAAGGAAGCAGGGTCTCGGTTACTTCATGCCAAAGATGATATAGATGGGCAGCCACTGATTGCCGCCAAGGAAATTTGTACCGAGAGTCCTTGTGTTGCAAGTGGTGTTGAGCCAGCTGCTACCAATGCCGAGCTAGCCTCACCGTAAGCATCTGCCGAAGCTAACAGCCTGAGATTTGTGCCAAAGTTTCCCCCCTCTCTCTAGCTCGATCGTGCCATCGTCCAATAAGTCTTCTCTAAATATCCCTGAGGTAAGTAGTAGTGATGCTCATGTAACTAATGATGTTATAAGTACATATAAACTGCCACCAAGGCAAAATCGTGGTGTACCTCTTGACAAGTTCTCTCCAGAAAGAAAAGTATCCCATAGCAAATTATGTGTCGTGTGAAAACCTTTCACCTGGACATCAAGCTTGGGTGAACAATATGGAGTCAATTCAAGTGCCAACTCGAGTAGAGGAAGCTTTGAAGAGTCAAGAATGGGTGCAAGCAATGGATGAAGAAATGAAGGCACTACAGAAAAATAATACATGGGAAGTAGTGGAGTTACCGAAAGGGAAGAAGTCAGTTGGGTGCCAATGGGTTTTTACAGTTAAATAAAAAGCTGGCGGTTCACTCGACAGGTATAAGGCGCGGTTGGTAGCAAAAGGATATACTCAAACATATGGTGTTGATTACCAGGAAACTTTTTCTCCAGTAGCTAAGATGAATATGGTACGAGTTCTTATCTCATTAGCTGCAAATTTGAATTGGTCATTGAAACAATTTGATGTAAAAAAATGTGTTTCTTCATGGACATTTGGATGAGGAAGTGTATATGGATTTTCCTCAAGGATATGATAATGGAGGAAAAACGGGAGTGTGCCGATGCGGAAGTCTCTTTATGGGCTAAAGCAGTCACCTCGTGCATGATTTGGAAGATTCACTCAGACCATGAGAAAGAATGGGTATTAACATAGTCATTTTGATCATACTCTATTTGCGGCGAGTTCAAGATGAAGAGTTTGGGTGACTTAAAGTATTGTTGGGAGTTGAGGTTGCTCGTTCGTCCAAAGGTATTTTCTTGTCTCAGAGGAAGTATGTTCTTGATTTGTTAAAGGAAATAGGTATGCTGGTGTAAACCTGTGAATACGCCTATTGTGGAGAAACATCACTTGGGGATTTATTCGGATCAAGAACTAGTGGATAAAGGCAGATATCAGAGGTTGGTAGGAAAACTAATTTATTTAGCTCATATACGTCCAGATATAGCCTATGCAATGAGTGTGGTGAATCAATTTATGCACTCACCAAGTGTGGATCATATGGCTATTGTTATGAGTATCTTGGCGTATTTAAAGTCGGCCCTAGGAAATGAATCTTGTATAGAAATTCTGGTCATCTAAAAATTGAGGGGTTCACTGATGATGATTGGGCAGGTGATGTGACTGATAGGCGTTCTACTTCTGGATATTTTACATTCGTTGATGGAAATTTGGTTACTTGGAGAAGCAAGAAACAGAATGTGGTGTTTAGGTCTTCTGCGGAGGCCGAATTCAAAGGTATGGCGCATGGAGTGTGTGAAGTTCTTTGGTTACGTAGGTTGCTTTGGGGTCTTGGTTTCAAACCAAATGAGGCTATAAAGTTGTATTGTGACAATAAGTCGGCACGAGAAATTGCAGAGAATCCAGTTCAACATGACAGAACGAAGCATGTGGAGGTTGATCGACATTTCATTAAGGAGAAGCTCGAGAAGAAGATTGTGTCAGTACCATTTGTGAACTCAGAAAAGCAGCTTGCCGATATCCTCACTCATGCCGTGTGTAGTAGAGTTTTTGTTGACTTACTTGTCAAGTTGGGCAAGTGTGCCATCTATGCTCCAACTTGAGGGGGAGTGTTGCGTGAGTTAGTATAGAATAGGAATGTAAATATTATAGTCCTTTATTAGGAAGATATTTCTTATGTCCTTTTTTAGTTTACCTTGGAGAACAAGGATTGTATGTATTATATTCCCAATTATGCAATACATGAAAATTAAGCCGTAAAATTCAATTAACAAACAAACGATCGCTACGAAACTACGAGTATTATTTATAACAAAGAATGTCAAGACGGCTATATGACTACATCTTCTTTGACTTGTCCACAAGTGAATAACAAGTATCATATTTATAATAAACTAATCTTTAATCTCTAAACGAAAACCTAATCCTAACCGGCTGGACCCAAATCCTAAATTAAACTTATTATTTTCCAACAATAAATACCAAACAAATCTAAAAGAGTATAGGGTAATTACGAGATGATTTGAGATTGAGGTACTTTTAAAAAATCAGCTTATTAAAAAATCTGGAACAACAGATGTGTTTAGTAAAACAAAAAAAAAAGTGCTTTTTTTTTTTTAAGAATTGTTGTCAGTGATGGGAAAAACATAAAAAAGTAGAAGCACAGTCTACCATGCTTCTAAAAAAATATTTTTTTTTTCAAAGCATAGTGATCAGTGTCTGTTTAATGATATTTTCAAATAGCAAGTATACTCCCATATATTTTATAAAATTACAAACTTAACCCCAACATTATTTTCTTTGGCAATTATTATATCACGTTAAATACCACATATTTTTTAGTTATTTAACATATTTACAACAATTTTATATAAAAGTTTACAAAAGCCTAGGCGTAATTTTTATTTTAATTTTTTGTTAAAAGCACGTTTACAAAAAAAAAAATGTTTACCAAACACTCAGTAACTTTATTTTTTTAGCTGTTTATTCTTACAGTACAGCAGAAAAAGTTCTTTTTTAAAAGACACAGCAATAGCAAACTAGCCGAGGATATAAATTGGCAAAGTAACTGAAATACGTAGAGTGTTAGAACTGAATTCGAATTCCAAACTCAAAGAATTTAGTAAAAGCTACCGCATGCTATTTCTTACTCCATGCAACAAAACCACAAATGATTACATCGATTACAATGATCATTTGACGAACCAAATAGAAAAGATTGCATTGATCACTATAAATCAACGTTCTCGATTATATGCTCTAGACAAGGAAGAACTGCTGCTACTGCAAATGCTACAATGCCATGAGCTTCTAAATTTGGTTCCAATACTTTACACAAAATAAAAGAGTTTTCAAACCAATTTATTTATAGCTCCAAGTCCCTAAACCGTATGTACTTTCGATAACATACTTCTTCAATCTATTTGACATCCTCTGTAATAATACAGCAAACGGAAAACCACCAGGCCACAGGGGACTTCACAATTTCCTGTCTACGGTCATGGCTGAATTATCGCCATTAGCTGAGGAAGGGGCAATGTTGGCACCAATGGCTACAACATCGGAATCCTGAACTCCACCAACAATCTGATTTAAAACAAAAACAAAATGAACCCATGAAGGAATTCCAGGTATTAAAAAAATAACAAGAACTTTCTTTATCTTCTTTCGGGGGTGCTTGGGGTGGTGTACCTGTTCAATTCCCTTTAAAGAAGGATCCTGGATACCGACATTTAGAACCTTAGGAACACCTGTTAGAGATCCCTGCAAAATGTTGAGCATACAGTGTAAGATGAGCAAATAATTACCAGCAATTACTTCCCATAAAGTTTTAGTATCCACCACCACAGAGGTGTCAAACACCATCATAAATATATACTACACAAATGAGATGCAAAGTGGCTGAAATGGTCTTAGCCTAAGGATTAGTAAACATATAACTTTTCAAGAACATTTAAATGGATTCAAAAACATTGTTTGACAATGCATTTTTTGTAGAGGATAATTCATCTGCATGTCACGTTCAGTTTCGCTGTACACTAGATCTAATTAATTCACGTGCTTATCTCTATCTATCCATACATTAGGGATGGAGTGAAAACATGAAGTCCCACATTTTTTTTTTTTTTTGAGAAGAAACAATTCATGAAGTCACACGTTGGGACATTCTAAACCCCTTCATTTCAGTATGTAACATTGAAAGTCTCTCCACTTATTGGTAATTGCTTTTGGGTCGGATGCTCTAACTTTAACTGGTTAAGTATTTTATTAAGGTATCTACTAGGCCCTAAACCATGGAATAACAACAGAGTAGCAAGTTCATCCTATGTTTCCTACTAACCGTTTGGATTTTCATCCAACAAATTCAACTATGAATGTTGTATTTATGTGTCTTAAGTGTTTTATTAAGGTATCTACTAGGCTCTAAACCATGGAATGATGTGTCTAAGATTTGAAAAACTCCTATGTACATATATGCATACACCCACAAACAGGTCTTGCAAGTAACGAAATTAGTAGCCAATCAAAACTGATATATCCATGATTACAATATACCCATCAGAAATTGCCAGCCAGCTCTTTCCTTTCCAGACTGAGACTTTGTAAGCTGACAAGATTTTTTGTTCTGACCTTGGACAACTTGTCTACTATTTAAAGAAAAACATTCCCACTGCAAGGCGTTTTTACAACAGTGGAATAAAATCTAAAGGAGGAAAAATGGTTACTTATTTCAACCAAGAACTTGTAGACCAAATAGTTGCTCCCTGCTAAGGTCCCCAACAGGAAGTTCTTGGATTTGATATAAATGACTGAAATGCATTAAGATGCAATAACCAATTGTGTATTTAAGCCATCCATAAAAGAATCCAACACTTCTACCGAGGAAAAGTGACATAAGCAGTGAAGAAGAAAATTGAATTTAACCTCAACCTCTCAAAACACTTGTAAGTGAAACAAAAGAATGCAGAAGTGGAGATCATGGAGAGAGTCAATTTCTTATTGTGCTTTCATTACTGAATGTTTCATGTGTGGCTATAGGTATATTCTCTCACAATTAGATGGATCTGTTTTCTCTCATTTATGTGATTGAATATTCCAAAAGACAGTTATGACATCGCAAACAATATAATGTCTCATTGGCACAACTTTTTAATTATGCATACATCGTAAAGAGGATTAAAAGACAAAATAACTAAGGATTTATAAATCCCACAAACCTTGTTGGCCCACTTCAGCCCACATGCATTACATAGTGTCCTTGGGCCTGCTGGCCCACGACGCATCATTGGAGTTGACTTTGAGCTTATCCCACAATGTGTACACCTGAAAAGGCATTAAGCATTATGTTTCAGAACACAGAGAATGTTAGTATTTATCTTGAAATAACAAATACACAATTTAGAGTACAAAACCTGCATCTCAATGTCAAAACAGCATCTCTTTGACTCTTTCAAGGAGAACGAAGAATAGACCGGAAATTCAAAAAAATTATATAACGGCCCTGAACCTTATGACCTATCCTAATAAAATAAAAATCTAATTGTACTCAAAGCATAGTCAACAATATATGAAGATGGATTGACACTTACGAAGTTTCCTGCATGCTCTCATCTTGTCCAGAGCCCTGTGTTGATGAAGCAGGGCCTCCATCATCAGAACTAGCCTTGGACGATGTAAATTGACCCTTCTTACGCTGCATTCTGAAATATGTACACATCGTATATTATAAGATGGCCAGGACAAAAAGGATTCGGGAATAACACAAATGTCAATTCATTAAAAAAAAGCATAGGACTGAGTGACAAGTCCTATTCCATTAATGTTTTCCTTAAAAAGAGCTGTCCTTCAGGTCTATGATAACTACAGAAATCCTGACCTTCAATTTCGTTTCATATCCATGCCATTTGCACTGTGGTATAGAAACGCTTTATGAATGAGATAACCTTTACATTTCACTTTAAAAGTACTCGACTGAAGAAAGAAAAAACTTGTAAAAAAAGTTTCATATACAAAAGATCCACTAGAATTTCCAAATAGAAGACCAGTCTTTTGCAAACACATTCATATGTGCTACGAGCTTATGGTAATGTCCTGACACAATGTTATCTATTTATTTCCTCAATGTCCTATTGCTTTAGATTTGTGTATGAAGTTGTGTTTAGGAAAGGACTGAGGTGGTAATTCCAGCTGATCGTGTATCTATTTTCTGGGAGAAAATTAACTCTTTGGGGAAGGAAAAAAGGTAAAGGTTACATGGATCCATGCACTGTTGGCAGTGATCTAGTTTGGGTTGGAGAGAAGAAACATAAGAAATTTTTAAAATTATAGAGAAGCGGTGGAGGTTTTCTGGGATGAAGTAGGTTTTGATCCTTTGAGCTTCAGTTTCTACTGAGTTCTGGGAACTATTGTCTTTCATTTTATTTTTCAGACTCGAGGGCCGTTTTTAATTAATTTTAGGAATGCTTATTTTTTTTGTCCTCTCTTACTTAATTTAAGCAAACTGAAAATAATATGTATAGTTGAATATAAAAAGATATATATGTACATCAATCTGTACAACAAATGCCTCTAAGAAAGAAATCTTACTCTTGTTTATAATAATACAGATCGCTTGATGATGAGCATACCAACATCAAGACCATACAAACACTAATGACCGCACTTACATATTATACCAATTCTCATTCTTCAGTATATTTTGTCTCAAAATATAAAAATAAAAACAACCACATAATCAGAAATGGTTGTGGTAGACAACGTTAAAAATCATGATATACATTTCCAAAGGAGACAGTGTCTTTGTAAGAGGAAGGAAAAAGAATTTTCAATTCAGAAAAGATAAGAAAAATAAAATAATGAAAGTAAAGGATCACACCATACCTGAGTGCAACTTCTTTCCGCACGGTGTAACGGATTTTCTTATCAAAACAACGTTCTTTTCTCTTCTCGCGAAACCGACTTAAAGAAGCAGCTCTCTGCGGTTGAGTTGGCTTTGCAGGTAAGTCATTCATACCCTGGAAGAAATGCCATTATAGCAGCAAGCAAAGTGAAGAAAGTTAACACAAAGACTACAATTTCTAGGAACTTGGCATGATTTATACGTATCTAAAAATACATACTTGCTGGTTTAGAGGAACCGGCCCCATGGAAGGAATGCCAGAAGGGATTTCATATCCACCCAAAAGTAGCAGTACTGCCTGCACCTGTGAAAAAGAACCACAAAAGCTCAAGCTTCTTATGTAACCCTCTCTCATTAACACCTGAAGCACCTATTTTGATTCGTATGACAGGTTTCCCGTACATATAAAACGTAAATAAATAAGTTGCCCAAACAATGCTCAGCAAACACTGAACCACTGAAAAAATATATATATATTTGCTTGCTACATAACAGAATGAAACAAAGAACCGCTCCATTGTTGAAAATTTCATTGAAAGACTAAAAACTTTTAATTTACAAGCCATTGTCCAAAATAACATGTTTTCTTCCACAGGACAAGTTTACAAAAACCTCTCACACCATCCGTGATAATCAAACCAATAGGCCACATAACTCTTATGAAATTCAACTGCTAATAAATCACGTAAATGAACTACCTTTTCGCGCATGACAAAGTAAACACCAAAACTGTACGCATTACGGAAGTGCAATGAAACACACATCCTTCATAAATGCAGCTACTTAAACAATAAAGCATGACTCACAAGTTCCCCTAATAAAAATCAAACTTTCAGAGAAGAACAAGACATATCAGGTATAGCATAGAACAAAACAACAAAAGAAAAACATATAAAGGAATGCGAAACTGCTGCAAGTGAATCACTACCGCTGCACAACTCACACAAGTTGAGCACTAAACCTTACCTTGTCGGGCGAAACAGCGTCGAAGACATAAACCTCGCCCTGAAACGAGAGAGTTAGCTGATCAGAGGCACCGTTTGCGGCGGCCGGCGGAGGGTATTCGGAGCTGGGAAGGTAGAGTTGATTTGGAGGAATGGCGGTACTATCTTCGAAGCGGATGTTAGGGTTGTCAATGGGCTCTTCAACGTCGTCGTCTTGGTCGTCAACTTGGTTACTCTGCGTCACTCCTCCTGTGCTGCTGTAAATTGAATTCTGGTGCTCGGATTCTGCCATCTCAGATACGAAAAAGATAACCCAGAACCCCAACCTCCAATTCACACCCAAATAGTAAGTTGATTGAAAGCAATCCAAACCCTAATTTTGATTTCCTTAATTTTTTTAATTGAAAAAAAAAACAAGAGAAATTTTTGTCTGAGAGCAAAAGAGTGAGGACCGTGAATTTGGGAATTCAATCTGCAACGGGAGATGGAGCTAGAGGGTGAGGATGACGGGTGAGGGAACGAACCTGCAAGTTTTTCACATTTACAGATATGCCACTGACTTAGACAATTATTATTATTATTATTATATTTTTTTTTATTTTTCACGAGAACAATGTAAATTACTTTTACATTGAACTTAATTTTTTTTAATACAGATTTGTTATTTTTTAAACTTTTACTCACTCATAGGATAAATTTTGACTTATTTAAAGGGTAATATTAGAGAAATTAAATTTTTATTAATGCGCGTAAGTCATAACCCAATAATCACATTCCATGTCATTTAGTTTATAAAATTTTGTTTACAAATTTAATCTCTCTAACATCACTCTTATTAAAATTTCAGGTTTATTTCCCTTATTCAAACATAGTGTTAAGTTAATTAAAAAACATGAGGATTTGAATTTGCTCATACTGCTTGGCTAGCGGCTCCAACTGCTGCGGCTTGGGCCTCCTACCCTTGGCTTGTAGAAAAAGATGTATAGGGTAAAAGTATATGTTATTGATACGTGAATAAGAAATATATACAAGTACATTCCTTGCTCTACAAGGCTTAATCCCTACAAACTAGGAATACAATCTCAATTAGGATTACAATCATATCTATTACTTTGACTAGGATTCTATTGTCTAACACTCCCCCTCAAGTTGGAGAGTGAATGTCAAGAACACCCAACTTGCACATCAAAGTTGTAAACTTGTCTTTCCCAAGAGGCTTAGTGAACAAATCTGCTAACTGGTGTGCCGTACCCACATATTTGGTTGCTATAGTGCCATCTGCAATCTTATCCCGTATGAAGTGACAATCCATCTCTATGTGACGAGTCCGCTCATGAAAGACGGGATTAGCGGCTATGTGCAATGCTGCTTGATTATCACAAAATAACTCGGAAGGACCTTCAAAAGAAACGTTCAAATCCTTCAATAAATGCCGAAGCCAAACTAACTCACAACAAGCACCTGCCATAGCCCTATATTCTGCCTCAGCTGATGAAAGCGACACGGTTTTCTGTCGCTTTGTTCGCCACGAAATTAAAGAGCTTCCCAAGAAAACACAATACCCAGTAGTCGAACGGCGAGTGATAGGACAACCCGCCCAGTCAGAGTCACAAAATGCAGCTAGCTTGGTCTGGTTGTCAGAACGAAATAATAAGCCTTGACCTGGAGTAGTTTTCAAATAACGGACAACACGAAGCGCAGCATCCATATGAGAGATACGAGGCTCATGCATAAACCGACTCAAAACATGCACGGAATAAGTGATATCTGGCCGAGTTATGGTAAGATAAATCAACCTTCCTACTAAGCGCCGATATTTTTCAGGATCCTTGAGAAGTTCTCCTTGATCAGATAATTTTGTATCATCCATAGGGAAAGCAATGGGACGTGCCCCCAGAAAACCATAATCCTTAAGAATCTCCAATGCATACTTCCGTTGTGAAATATAAATGCCACGTTGAGATCGAGAGACCTCAATACCCAAGAAATATTTTAATTCACCAAGGTCTTTTAATCGAAAACGATCACGGAGAAAAGTCTTGAGAGAATCTATAGCTCTGACATCGTTGCCTGTAATCACAATATCATCCACATAAATAAGTAATGCTGTAAAAGAAGTACCGGACTTTCTGGTGAACAATGAATAGTCAGCCTTTGATTGTTGAAAACCAGCGGAAAGAATGGCAGTAGTGAATTTTGCAAACCATTGGCGAGAAGCCTGTTTAAGACCATATAGAGATTTATGGAGGCGACACACAAGATTCTCCCCCTGTCGCCGAAGACCAGGAGGAGGAGACATATAAATTTCCTCATGTAAGTCACCGTGCAAAAAAGCATTATTAACATCAAGCTGATGAAGAGACCAAGACTGGTTAGCAGCGAGTGCGAGAAGACAACGCACTGTAATCATCTTAGCAGTAGGAGAGAAAGTGTCATGATAATCAATACCTTCAGTCTGAGTGTAACCTTTGGCAACTAAGCGAGCTTTGTAGCGGTCGATAGAACCATCAGAATTATACTTCAACTTGTAAACCCAACGACAACCAATAGGAACTTTGCCAGGTGGCAAAGGAGTCATGGTCCAAGTACCATTAGCATGTAAGGCTTTAAGCTCCTCAGTCATGGCACGACGCCAATGAGGATCACTTGCAGCCTCGGCAAATGAGGAGGGCTCCACATTCCGACTGACAGAATATATATAGGAAAGATGCTGGGGAGAATATCGGTGATAAGAAATAAAATTACAGATGGGATATCGCGTACCTTTTATAGAACTAGGTTGCGAAGTGGAAGATTGGTGTGGTGGCAGAATCACCTGCGAGCAAACATAGTCCTTTAAATAGGTTGGGGTTTTATGGGTACGGGTAGAGAGGCGAGGGGTGGGGAGAAGGTCAGAAGAGGGGATGAGCGTAGAGGTGGTGGGGTCCGGGGGTAGGTGGGTGGAACTAGAGGGGGAAGCGGTGGAGGGAGCAGGGGGGGCCGTGGCTATAGTGGCGGAAGGATGGACATGGGATGTGTCGTCAGGAGAGGGAGTCGGGAATAAAGTGGCAGGAGGGACAGTAGGTGGGTGTGACGTAGGGACAGGGAGTGGGGGATAAAGAAGGTCCAGAGAAGAAGGAAGAGGTAGGGTAGGAGCGGGAGAAGCGGTATGGGTGGGTGGAAGAGTATAAGGGAAGGAATCTTCATGGAAAATGACGTCCCGACTGGTGAAGATGCGGTGAGTGGCTAGGTCATATAGTTTGTATGCCTTTTGGGCAGGAGGGTAACCAAGAAAGATGCAACGATGGGCTCGAGGGGAAAATTTAGTGGGTGGAATGACAGAGGTGGCATAGGCTAAACAACCAAAGACTCGGAAGTGATCATAGGTGGGGACTTTGTTATGGAGGATCTCAAAGGGAGATTTATTTTGCAGAAGACGAGTGGGAAGACGATTGATTAAATAAGCAGCGGTAAGGATACATTCACCCCAAAATTTAAGAGGAAGATGGGACTGAAAACGGAGTGCGCGGGCGGTTTCTAGGAGATGCCTATGTTTGCGTTCAACAACGCCATTTTGTTGAGGGGTATGGACACAAGAAGTTTGAAGTAAAATCCCATTAGCGGAAAAAAAAGGACGAAGAGAAAGAAATTCGCCGCCATTGTCAGTACGAATGCATTGAATATGAGTATGAAATTGAGTATGGACATAAGCAAAAAAATCCTTGATTAATTGTTGAGTATCAGATTTATGTTTCATGAGAAAGACCCATGTAAAACGAGAAAAATCATCCACAATGGTTAAAAAATAATGAGCTCCAGAAAGGGAAGATTGACGATTCGGACCCCAAATATCACAATGAATTAAAGCAAAAGGAAAAGTTGTTGAAATTGAACTTAAACCAAAAGGTTGACGAGTTTGTTTCGCCAAAGGACAAACATCACAAACATGACTAGAATCAAAAGAACAATTTAAAAATTTAGAAGCTAAAACTTGCAAACGAGGAGAGGAAGGATGGCCAAGGCGCCTATGCCACAGGGAAGACGGGATGGTGATGACATGGCAAAGAGGGTGACGGGAGGGAAGGGAAGAGGCAAGGGCCACAAGGTAATATAGGTCGCCACGTCGCTTACCCACACCAATCATCGCCTTCGAAACCAAGTCCTGCAAAACACACCAAGTGGGAAAAAATGTTACGGAACACGATAAGCCATCTGTAAGCTTACCAACCGATAAAAGGTCCACATTAAAATTAGGAACGCATAAGACATCTTTCACATGTATAGAGGAATTTAAATGGAGAGTGCCAGTTAAAGAAATAGGTGCGGTAGAACCACTAGGCAAAGAAACAGGTGGCAACTGGGAAGGAGAAGTATTAACCAAACATGAGGCAGAGGAAGTAATATGATCTGTAGCTCCACTGTCAATGATCCATTGACCAAGACGAGGAGCTACGGGAAACAAACCTTTGGCAAAGTCCTTATTAAAAACAGCATGAGCCTGAGGAGACGAAGGAGGGTCGGCAGCATCAGTGAGGGCAGCAAGGACTCGGGAATGTTGGTCGGCCGAGAGATGTGGCATAGCAAGCTGAACATCATGCAGTGTGGGCTGCCCTTGCACGTGGTGGGCTGATGGAGGGACTGAAGCCGTGTGGGCCTGGGAGCTGGGAGGGGGCCGATGATTAGCCGCATGGGTGGGACGGGCAGGAAGAGCAGCACCATTGTTGCTGCGAGAAGAACCAACGGATGTAGAACGACGGGGTGGCCTCCACGGTTGGCCATGGAGAGGATGACCAACAGGATAACCATGAAGCTTGTGGCAGGTGTCACGGGTGTGAAAATCATAGTTGCAATAAGTGCAGTGAAGAGGAGGACGGGCGGAAGAAGCACGGGACGATCCACGGACCGTCATGGCTGCTGCAGGTTGATCGGCTGAACGGAGAGAACCCATCGAGCGTTGCTTCTCTGCCTGAGACACAGAGGAGCATGCTTGGCGAACGGTGGGCAGTGGGTTCATCAAGAGGATTTGATCGCGAACGGCCGAAAAAGACTCGTTAAGGCCCATGAGAAACTGCATAAGTTGCTGTCTGTCGTTCTTGGTGCCAGAAGAACAGGTGCAGTGGTCATTGTAGGAGGCAAGTTCGTCCCAAAGGCCTTTGAGACGAGTGAAGTAGGCGGAAACAGATGAAGTGCCTTGAGAGATAGTGGCAAGGTCACGGTTGAGTTGAAAAATGCGAGGAGCATTGCTTTGGGAGAACCGTTCACGAAGGTCGTCCCAAACGGCTTTGGCAGTAGTGGAAAAGAGGACGGACTCGGCAAGGTCAGGCTCCAAAGAATGAAGAAGCCATGAAAGAATCATATCGTTGCAGCGACGCCAGGCAGCGTGCGCATCAGGGTCTTCGGAGGAGGACGGTTCTGCAATGTCACCATTAATAAAACCAAGTTTGTTCTTGGCGCTCAAAGAGATCTCCATGCCGCGTGCCCAGGTGGTGTAGTTGTCTCCATTTAATTTTTTGGAAACAAGAACAAGGTTAGGGTGATCAGAATGGTGAATATAAAAAGAAGTACTGGAA